AAGGAATGAGGGCTTCCCTGGACTGGTCTGGAGATGACATTTGTTTATTCATTCTTTGGGAGGATGAAGTGCTGATAAAGGTATGGTTGCCTGGACAGCTTTGCCATGGTGAGGAAGCCTTTTATGACAATTTATGTTCTAAGTCATATTTTCTTTTCTGAAATCCTACTGTATTTAGGGATGGTACCATGCAAACTAGTACCTCCACATGCAGCCTCATGCTCTGAGCAGTTCCACCAACACCCAATAACTGACCCTCTGGTGAAAGTTACTCTCCTCAGAACAAGCCATCCTCTTGGCTAACCACATCTCACAATTCATGGCCAAAAAAGGATACCGTTCTTACATTTGCTTAATCAATGAGGTAGATTGAGAAGATTTGCTCGTAAATTCTTAGCTGTGTGATCTTCAAGTCTGAGTCTAAGCCTCAGCTTCCTACCTGTGCAAGGGGGATGGACATGGTGTCCTCCCTCACAGTGAGCAAGTGCCTACTGCATGCCAGGTACTCAGTGCTTGAGCTACATCAGGGAACAGCCAAGGACTGGAGCTGGCATTCAAGCAAGAAGAAGGCAGTAAACAAAAGCAAAGTTAAGTATTACATAGTACATTCACATGTAACTAGCTATATGGAGAAGGAAGGTGAAATAAAAAGAGAGGGAATCAGAATGCTAGAGGTAGGGGTTGCAATTTTAGATTTCTAAGTAAAACAGAAAAGGAGATATTTAAGTAAAAATGTGGAAACAGCAAGATAGTGAGCAAAAAAAATACAAGGCAGAGTACGAAAGCTCTAAGTCAAGGGCTTCATTCCTAGTGAGGGGCCTGTGTGGCTGGCTCAGAGCAAGTGAGAAATAGGAAGAAATAAATTCAGGCACAGCTTCTTCAATAGGCTCTTCTGACCAATGGAGATAATGCATACAATGTACTTAGCAGGTAATAACAAAACCCAGGCATTTGTTAGATGACAGGCTGTGTGCTAACACACCTAAATTCCATTAGTTCATTTAGTCTGCCTGACAACACTGCAAGAGTTTTTACAAATATGCCAGTTTTAAGTACCAGGAAACTGTACTATAGGTAGACAAAAATCATTTGCTTGTGGTCTTAAATATTAGCAAATGGTGGCGGTAGGATTAAAAACAAAATTCCAAGCCTAAAGTAGCCAACTTGCAAAGACTGGGCCTTTAAATGTAGAACTAATGGCCTCTCTCAAGAAAAAGGGGTGGAAGTGAGGGTAGGGAAGGAGGAGTCTGTGGATGGCAGAGCACACCCAGGAGACTGGGACTACATGGAGGAGGAAACAAGAACTGAACAAACAGATCTGTAACAAAAACAGAAGACATGATCCAAAAGGAAAGACAGGCAAAGCAAGCAAGAAACAGGTTGCTCAGGTCAAGAGGGCCAGAGGACACAAACAGGGGAAGAGGGGTAGCAAAAATAAGCAGGGCCACTCAATGGGCCAGCAACAGACCAAGGTGGATTCATGGGGTCATTGCAATCCCCCAAAAGCACAGGCATCTGGTAAAATTACCTCCTCCTCTTAAATAATAATAAATAGCAAGAAAAAAATGTTTAGGATAGCATGAATCAAGATACCAGAACTTCCTCTTAGGAATTTAAATAGGAGTTTTTGAAACAAGCACCCTTGTTGACTCCTAGAGAGGAATGTGGTAACAGCTAACAAGCATTACATTTAAGAAATAAACACCACGTATGACACTGAAAACTTTGTACATATAATCTCACTTCCTCATCAAAACACTAAAAGTTGCTTTATCCCCATCTGTAAATGAGGAAGCTCAGGATCAAAGAGGCTCAGTATCTCTAAGTCAAGCACTAAGAGGGACAAAAACATGACTCCCTCCAAGGTGGATCCAATGTGATCACTGACCATGAACATGGATACACCCATCATCGTACAGTGCCTTCTGTGCAAGGAATACAAATAAGAGGTGTGGATCCTACTGCAGCAATGTGCTTTGGAGCATCTCTTTTCAAGAACCTCCATAAAGAAGCCCTGCAGTCTTATTTCTATGGGTTTGGTCAGTAGGTGAGGGAGCTCTTTGGTGTCCTTCATATAGGTCAGGGAAGTACAGGCTACTCTATACTCTGAGTATTCCCACAGCTCAGAAACCTTGGGGATCAGCTCAGCTGCTGTTGAAGCTTTGGGATAATAAGCACTGCAAGTTTTGTAAAGCTCCACACCTAAAAGATAATCACGTTAGTTCATTCTGAATGTCCCTTAATATGTTCTATATCTCCTGGAGGCTCAGTCATTCTAGAAAAGCATTGTGCATACTGGTCATATTTATGCATCCAGCACTTTGGGATACATTCCTTACAATTTAGGAATCTCCCACATTTTTATACCTGCCTCCCTATGCAGAAGCTTGACTCTCTTTCATATTCTGTTACAATTCTGCCCAGTGACACCTGCCCCAGACTTTGACACAGGATCTAGTAAATAAGATGAAGGGACAGGAAAATAATTTTCTTTGGCTAAGTGATAGAAATGCATAATCTTAACAGAAAAACCCCAGTCATTCTTAATAACTTCTCTTCCTTCCTTTGTCAACTACTTCCTGCATTTTGATACAGGAAAATCCCTAACCCTTGTAAATGCTCATGGGCAGTATGTGCAAAGAAAAAATGGGAAGGGAATAACTAATGGGAGCTAGATCTATTGTAATTATGCGTATGAGGAAAGAGAACAAAGGAATAACAGGAAACAGAAACACAATACAAGACACAATAAGACCCCAAAGTAATAATTATATTATGATTTCCCACCAGCTGGCTTAGAAATCTCAAAGCATTGAACCTTCTATTTTCTGGTGCTCCAAGTAAAAGGATTTCTGAGTATGGGGAACTACCTAAATTGCTTCCCAATGTCCTTGAGGCAACAATGAAGAGCAAATCTTTTACTCAAGATTCTAAAATGAAAAACCCAAACAAAATCTACCTTCCCTTATTGTGGGCCCTCCTTGCAGGTCAGCTTACATATTTGCTGATGAAAAACAATTCAACATTAGGCCCGGCTTACTTTGGAGACAACTCTTCTGACCAAATGCAGTCGCTTAGTACCCAAAATAGACTTAATTCAACAGATATTTTATGAGTATCAATATTCTATCTGTATATTGGGAATGTAGCAAGGAATAACAGAACACTCTGTTCTTTCAAAGAAACTAAAAGTCACTTCGACTTCAACAACCTTAATTTTTACTGAATAGAAAGTTAGCAGCTCTGCAAAATAACAAGTCTTGAAGCAGGACGAAGCAATACGAAAAAAGAAAGAAAAACATACAAAAGCTCTTTTTCACAGAAGAGGAAAGAGGCAAAGACTAATGAGAAAATATGGGAAGGAAGGAAGAAAGAAGGAAAAAAAAAAACGAGGTAAACCAAAAGGAAAAAACTGGGGTAGAAGATTCTTATAGATCATAAGTCCTCACTTGGAAGAGGAGATAAAGTATCCTTGACAATTAATATGAAATTACAATGTTTGAATCCTTGAACTCTCCAAAACTCAACTCTTAGAAAAACCCACAGCTTCATATTTTAAAAAGTTGACGCATATATTTGAACTTGGAAGTATATTTAAGACTTTTATATATCATCACTGCCTTGACTAACTAACAAACCAGAGGAACAGAAATAGTTCCATTTTAGACAAATCTAAGAGTTCTGTGTTGTGATCTGTGTGCACAGTTCAAGACACCTACCTCTTTTTCTAGTCATCACCTGAAATTGCAAAGAGTGTTTTAGGAGAATATCAAGTGGTTACCATTTTCAGATATCTTGTGGAGTATGAAGTTTCATAGCCTATCTACCCTCATACATACAGCTAGTCACATGTGAACATACAAAATGATGATCATGAATATCAGCTTTCTTTTGGGAATTCATCTCTCCAGTTAAACAAGACCAGACCATAAGAATCTGAGTTGGCTGAAGATTCCAGAGGAATCCACAATCTTTCCCTAGCCACACTGTTTAAGACCTTAACATATGACTCAGGATAGTTCTTGGATTTTGCTGGAACAAGAAATCTAAGGTAGCTTAAGCAGTAAAATATGAGCCTGAGATTTTCAGTGGCTTCCAAACTGAGAAACTTGCTTCAGAAGACAAGCAACACAAGGAAAGCAAAGCCAACATCTAAAGAGAGAGAGCCTATCTGGTAACACTGAATATCTGATTCCAGCCATACCTGAGGTCAATCTACTGCCTGGATTTTTCAATAATGTGAAATAAAATAAAGTCTTATTTTCCCGAAAGCCCATTGAATTGAGTGACCTTCATTTTCATGGATAAGAATTTGCATAACAAAATATTTCCTGTATGTTTCATCTTCTTTTCTATCACACAAAACCAACCTGACCATACACACAAGCTTCCTGCCTAACTTTATAGTTTTATAATCAGGATGAACGTAAGTTCTTCTTCAGGCTGCACTTGAGTACCTCCATCTCTAAACTCCATCAAAAAGGCAGCTAACTCTATGAGATCATTAAATATCAAATCTCTAAGGTGCTCTAATACATCAGCTCACTTGCTGGCCACTAGGAACTCAAGGACAGATAGTTCAACTATAAACACCAGCTCATCTGTCTTATATTACCTATTAGAGCCAAGTAACTGGCAAACTCGTTGTGTTCTGCTTCCCCATTTCCAACACCTCTCTCATTGAATATAGATTAGTGGTAAATTTTCACTATATCTCAAATGAAATAAAGAACAATAGATGAAATAGAGAGGGTCCTCAAATCACAAATCACTTCCATTTAGTGAGGCATACCTCTACAACATATTATAGTTATTTTGCCCCAGATGAACTTAGATGAAACAATTATTATTTATTTGTAAATCTCAAATTTGGATTTTTAAATTATTTTTAATGGAAGTCTGTCTAATTTTGTAAAGGAGTTTTTGTAATGGCACAAAGACTATTGTGTCTCAGGGGAATTGCAGAGCTAGTCAATCACTCTTATATAACAAGTACTTACTGTGAAAATAATGTCCTCGACCGAACAATGAACTTGAACACATATTCTAAAGCTTTCAGAGTTCTTAGGATTGGTTCACATTGCTCCCCTCTGCTGGAGGTATCCAAGTAAGTCTTCAGCACTGTCATCAATTTTCTAAATAAGAGAATAAATTCCCAAAATAAATTTCTAACCCACAGTATGGTAATTAGTTTACTCAATAAATTTCTAACCCACAGTATGGTAATTAGTTTACTCAGTAAATTATAAGGCATTCAATCAAAGGTTAAAGGTGGTGGAATATCTATACCCATTCATTAATTTTCAGTCATAAAAATAACACCATGAAAAATATATATTTAATACAGAGAATAAATATTTTCTACTCATAAAGAATCAATAAATGAAAAATAAATCAATAATTTGTTGATCAGCAAAACCGGTGATAATCAAAAGAAGAGTAGCGATATCTTTTTCAGCTTTTTCTTTCTACAGAAAATTTTATTCTGATATCATGGAACCCACCTTGGCTAGAAACTTTGCATTTTTCTTCATCACTGTCAAGGTAGATTTTAAACCAGTTGACCTGCCTTCCAAAACCCCTTTAACAAACTGGCATCCACCAACTATTTCAGCATCATCTCCCATCACTAATCCTCAGTCCTAAACCCAAGCTGTACTGAATTATTTGGCATACATACTTTCTTTCTAACCTTTAAATTTCAATGTCTACTACAAGTAGTTGCTCATTTAAATAACTGACTGACTAAATGAATAATCAAACACTTTCACATACTTCTACCAAATGATGGGTTTACATAAGTTTTACTTATTCCAAATAACCCAAGTACAGATTGGGTCTTAACAGAAAAGGCTTAACTTGGTGATCAAAAAAAAAAAAAAAAAAATTCAGTTCCTTGTGATGCAGCCACCCTGACAGAGCAAGTAAACAAGTAATCACTACATGTACAGTTTCTTACTTGTAAGCCAAAGTAGCACTAAAATGCTGTTGAATATAGGCCTCCAGAACAGTGTTGAAATGCTGGAATTTCCGGTCAGCAATGAGTCCTATTATGTAGATCTGAGAAAAAGGCAAGAAGTCAGTATTTTCAGGGCAGGCACAGAGCAGACAGCCCATTTTTCATAGCTGAACCCCTAACAAAATCTTTTGCTCAGGAAATAGTTCATTAATTTGTCTTTAGTTCTGTTCATAAAGATAGTGGCTCTTCTAAAAAGCCTTCCATGAAGTATACTATAGGGTTTACGACAAAAGGGATTCATGGTCAAATAAGCTTGAAAAGAGATAAAAGGGATTCATTGTCAAAGTCCTTGTGAATGACTGAATCTCAAATTTACAAAAGGTCAGGTTATCATTAATGTTTGTCTTCTTTAGTGCAGGACTTACCAGAGTCTTTAATACACTTAGCTGCTTCATGAAAATCTATGAGGGTTCTGCAATGGTCTACATTTTCTTAAGTTATGAATCAAAGGACCTTTTTTGTCACACAGCTTCTTTCTTTAGGGCTAGCTTTTGAGGAGGTGTTCTTAAAAAGCACAAGATTAAGTTACAATTTTCTCCAAATAACCTCTTTAAAAATAAATATGTCACTTAAATAAGAGGTTAACATAATAAAACTGTCAGTCTCTGATAATCTGATATGTTTATTTATAATGTTATTTTGACATGGCACTGGTAAGTAAAATATGAGTTAGAACAGAGAGAGGAAGACAAGACTATTTGGAAAGATGGAAGGAGGGAAGATCTGGTTGGTGTACCACTATAAAAGGTTCTGGGTAGGCAGGAGGAGTATCATGAATTTGGTGAGTTGGAGACTCACCAGGTAAAAGAAGGTAAAAGGACCTTTTTAGCAAGCATTTTGGGTGTTTTACAACCTGGGGAAGGACTAATTGCCACCCACAACTACTTTCAACCAATGCTACTCTGACATCAACTGTTAAAGTTCCCTTTTTATCTACTCTAACCATGCTTTCAAATGAACTCAAAGCAAATAAAAGCAAACAGGAGTTCATTCTTTGGTCTGCTTGCCCAGAGAATTCATGAAAAGTGTCACAAGAGGTACATTTGTTAGAGTTTCAGAGAGAGAAACATATTAATGTTGAATGATCCTCTGTCTTACCAAAGCATCAAAGACGAGGATGTCATATGTATCACTTTGAGAATGTTCCATCATGATGTTGAAGAGGGCATCCAGAGTATCCTGTAGAAACTGGACACAGTGATAAAGATTGTGTTTAGAGACAGTGAAGGTGCTCTAGTAATCACACTCAGCAGGTGTACTCAAGAGAATGAGAACATACATTCACCGCAGTTGAGGTCAAGAGGTCCAGGGCACTTTATTCACAAGAGCCAAAACTTGGAGTAACTTAATGTCCACCAAGTGCGGAATAGATAAATGCATGGTAGCATTTTCACTGTATAGAATACTACATAATAATAAAAGAAAGGAATTCTCACCCTTTGTAAGATGTCAGACACAAAAAAATGTATGTTCATTAATATTATATTTTTATAACATTCAAGAATGGATAAATATTCACCTATGATGATAGTAGCCTAATTGTTTTCCCTAGGTGGGTTACTGATTGAGAGGAAAATAATACAATGCCAAGTATTGTTTATTTTTATTCAGGAGGTAAGTAGTACCTTGTACTACTTAATAACACTCTGTCAAGAATAGACTACCTATATGATTGTGATACCATCAGCTCTGTGCCCTATAGCCTAAGTGTATAGGAGACTACACCATCTAGGTTTGTGTAACTATACCTTATGATGTTTGCACAATGACAAAATCACCCAGTGACACATTTCTCAGCATGTAGGCCCATCACTGCACAATGCATGATTGCATATGAGTGGGTATCTATATAAAAATACATTGAACTCCTCTTAAGTTCTCTATACATATTTTACTGCAGATATATTATACTTGCATTGCAAACTTTAAAAACTAAGGAATGAAATAGAGAGACAATAAAATTTCTTCCTAGATGACTTTTTGAAGATGCCCAAAGGTGGTTGATATTATTAAAGGATGTCTGGCATTTATTAAAGGATCCCTGGCATTGCTGATGCAAGCAGGTGGGTCAGCAGTGAACATTTTAAGCCTTTAATCTAGAAATCTGATCATTGCCTCTCCATTTATGGGAAAATAACTAAAATTTCATACCATTTCTTATTAAGGGATGAGAACCTCCTACAGTGCTTCAAACGACAGAGCTAATACATAAAGATAGTTAACTTCAGATTTCTAGCCACACTAAGCTCCTGATGGAAACAAGATCCCTAGCTCCTCTGGGAAACACCTGTCCCAATTACAGTGTTTGAGAAGAGGGTTGCTTTAATTAGGTCTGCATTGATGGCTTTCCCTTTCTCATGGTTAACATACAAAGCTCTTAAAGTAGTGGAAACCAAGAACATTTTTTATTCTAAAAGTAATATGTAGGTAGTAGTAATTGATTATGCCTCTACAACAACTTACAGCAAAAAAATAATTAACAGTTACTATTTATTTAACTTGATATGTTTTAGTTCAATCATTATGCTTTATATATGAAGTTTTGCTAGAAAATGTTTAAATAGTATTACTTTGCATGCTCTTAACAATCCTGGGAAAGATGGTATATTCACAATATTTTCTTATAAAGATAGCAACTGGCTAAGCTAGGAGCTATACAGAAGCTGATCTATTTCTGAGACTGAGCTGTCATCAAATCAATATACACTTTAGATTCCCTTGTAATGGTTTTGCACGTCAAGTTGGGACACTCAATTATCAGAGTAAACAGTGTCCCATTCCTTCAATATTTCATTTCTCCCGAAACCATTCATGATTCAAAGTTCTGTCATTGGTATACGAATACAAGCAAATGAAGCCCTGCTGACCTTGACCACTTCCTCTCCATCCACGATCTTTATTTTCTCTAAGTTTTCCTGTAGCAGTTCAGGTTTCATACGCCACTTCAACAAACCCAGCAAGCCCACTAAAATAGAGTCAAGAAAAGAAAAATTACTGTTATTGGTCTATTATGTCTGTATTAGGACCTCCCAGTTCCTTATTGTGCATACATATACTCCCATGCATGCATACAGGCACATAACCAAACATGCACACTTACTTGCACACCATACACAAAAACTTTTGATGATTCCATTACCGTTCTGGGTGAGCTTTGTGGAACACACCAAGGTGGAAATGGAAAACACATCTCTGGAGCTGACAGAGAGACCCCCAATGCTGCTGGAGCTTCTACTCAAGGTGGCCACCTTGTTTTCCATGTGGTGTCGATAAGACGGAAGGGTTAGGTAAGCACTGGAATCCTCCATCTTCTTGCTGTCCCCCTGTAAACAGCAGCTGGGTTACTTCCCCAATTCAAGGATACACACTAGTATAGCAGAACTCCCAGTGGCCAGATTACTCATTGTAAAGTAGAAAGGGTCAGAAATAATGAGGAATGTCATCAAAGAAACAACAAACATCAACTCATAAAGCAGGGCTATTTTCCACAAAACAGACAAGAACTCAATATTATGTCAATGGAAAGGGGTTTGATCAGTTGAAGACTCTTTAGACTTCATTAATGACCCAGAGGGAACTGAAGATTTCCAGTCATCTTAATTCATTTTAAATATGTTGAGATCTTAACACTTGCCCCCTGACCCCCCAATAGACAAGAAATCAGCAAAGTCACCATAGTAAAAAAAAAAAATTGTGGGATCTAGATCCTGTTTCAACACTCATGTCTGTGTCATCCTGAATACATTCTTTGCCTCTTTGTTTTATTTTTCTAATGATCAAACTGAATTAATACTATGACCTACTTCCTAAAGATTTTGAGTGGACACATAAGTCTCTGGGCATGCTGAAATAAATGATTCCAAATAGGTACTAACAGGAGTTAACAATCATTGAACACTTTCTCTGAACCAGATGCCACATTAAGTGCATTAGATGCCTTAGTTGATTTAATCTAAGCTTAGCAGTTGTTACTATTGTAGATACTCTTATCTGTCTCAGTTTCCAGATGAGGAAAAAAGGCTTATGGTAAATAAGTTGAAAACTGACAGCAAATGGGCCTCTGTTCTCAGTGAATTTACAGTCTGTTGGGAGAAAAGTTTTCAAGGCAAAATGTTTCATAACTGAGAAACCAGAGGCTATAAAGAAGAAAGGAAGAGTTTCTGGAAAAGTCAGAGACAGACTCAAAGGAGACTATACTGATGAAGGCTTGATGAAGCTGTATTTGCTATGTAGACCAGAGGCAAAGGGACAGTTTCTGTCTACATGGCTAAAAGAGCCAAGGGCAAGGGTTGTGTGATCCTTTAACCTCTCTTGACTTCATAGCCACGGGCTGCTGTGCCTCCATTCAGAGGCTTTCTACTGCCACAAGAGGGGCTAGAGAAAAAAATGCAGTTAGATGAAAACAAGCATTTCCCCCGCGCCTTGAAAGCAGTCTAAGTCTCATGATTGAAGTATAACAGGCTGACATTTGTACTCCTTATATATATGGCTCTTCCACATGGGATACCTCATTGTCCTGTCATAAATATTACCACCACTACTTAGGGGAAAGGAAACTGAATCTCAGAAAGACATCAGAGATGATTCCAGATCTAGCAGCATGATCAGGGCCCCCAATCCTAGAATTTTCCCATGAGCTACAGTGAGACATCTCTCAAATGTTTTCTGCCAGTATCTACCCATGTTACAGAGGTCCATAGAGAGTCAACAGCCCACTCTGTACACAACAATAAACGTGTCTTTTTATTGAATATTCCATATAACTATCATTCTCATGTTTATATTAAGAGTCTCATATAAACCACACAACTAGTCACTGAAGATTCATAGATAAAGAAATGAAGGCCCCAAAAAGCTAAGATTTTTGTAGATGTCTACACAGCTGGCATGTCTCATGTGATGTTTGGGTCCCTATTATTGATCACTGAGCAATCCTGCCATATCCCCTTTGCTTCTTGTACCCCTTCAGTTCAGTTAATTCCCAGTGATGGTATACCTTTAGTACAACTAAGTCGTGGCTTCCATCTTGCAGAGTGGTTCCATCTTCCTTCATCAGCTTCACATAGGACATGGCAAAGTTCTTTTCTCCTTTGTCTTTAGCTGAAGATAGGATTGTGAGGTTAGGAAGAAAAATGATACAGGGTTACCCAGCTATCCCACTCTTTGGGGAGCTGCAGAGATGACATTTGACTGAGTACTTACATTCCAGGGAGGACCGATGTCGAAACATGAACCGCAGATGGATCTTTTGCATGTCTTCAATAGGGACAGCCACCTCAGCAAGCAGACACCAGAGCTCAGAAGACAATAATTTAAATGGCCCACCCAATCCAGTCTCCTATCTCCCAAGGCAGCCTGACCATTTAATTGAGAGTGCTGCATGCTGATTTATTACCCATCCATCAAGCCTGATGAACTGTAAATAAATTACATAAGAACTAGCTATGAAGAGAAAATAAAGTAACAAATGGAATCCATTTGGCAAATTGCACTGCCAGCCAATAAAAAGAGGTCTGTAAATTATAGTGGGGAAAAATGAATCTCCTCAAATTGATATAAAAGTCACATAACTTTAGCACAGGATTTGATGCACTGCAAACTGCACAATACACATTTTCCTTACACACTCTAGGAGTTCTGGCAATTGCAGCAGGATTTAGCAAATTAACAACAATCATTAAGGGTTTGCATGAAGACTCTCAGTTATATAAATTAATATGCTTGAATCCAATATTTGGGAAAGTCCTAGGGCTCATTCCCAGCCTTGGTTGAATAAGTGTCCAGATATTTTGGCCTTCTTGGTCACTGAACTTAGATGACCATTCCCTGACCATGCCAGTTTCATTGTTCAGTGAGTGATCACGATCTGCCTCTGGACCTGCCTCTCAGGTCTCAGTCTAAGGTGCAATCCATGCCAAAGCAGAGAAACTTAGCTACCTGTGAGAAAACTGATTTTTAAAATGGATATGTTTATGCAGCACTGAAGACAATTGAAAACCAAACAAATTAATATTTTTGGGTGTTCTGTCCTCCATAAAATGAATATTGAGTCTGAAATGTTCCACTATTTGTATGTTTCATACAGAGCATAAGCACTGAGTCTCCTGGGCTACTGCATCCCACAAATTTTCACTATGCATTGAATGATTACAACAGACCAGTCACCTGTGGCACTGCCATGCTGACATTAAGGCAAAGACCCTGCACTCTGAAAGAGCTCATGGCTCACCTAAGGTGACATATCATTATACCAGACATGTGACCAGGACTAGCAAAGAGATGTAACTGAGGTTCAAAAGCATAAAGATGAGAAAACCAAACTGGCTTAATAGCTTTCTGACCCCAAAATTGGGCTGGTCATCAATTTGAAGATCTCATGTACAGAGGGACCTACAGTGGAAAACAGGAATGTCAGTGTAGAGGCAAGAACCACTGAGGTTTGAACGGCTATCTCTGAAAGGTAAGTCATGTGAAAGCCTTGAGTTTAGGTTCAGAGCACTGGGTGAGAGTAAAGACTGCTGCTAATTATAAGGAGAGATATCTGAAGCTGTGATCAAGCTTCATTGTTCACTGAATTAATTCTAAAGTATTCTTCCAATGCACAATGTTCCCTTCTGCTTAGTGTGACAATCTGGTAATGTGAATATCTGTGGTTAATGCCACCTCCACCTTTTAGACTTTAAGTGGCCTTTTAAAGCCTCACATTTGCTCACAATATCTGTCACTTCTGCATGCTGAGGCTGGGCACTATCCACAAGAGGACTCTCTGAAAGTTTGGCAGAGATTAAGTATTGGGCCAGTGAAGGGTGGTAAAGAGAACAGGGTGTTTTCCATTGGTCACCATCTCCACTGCCTGACACTACTGGACACAGACTTAGGTACTCTTTCAGATTTTAAGGAGGTGTCTCAAAGTCACTAAAAACATAACATTTGCTGCGATTGTTAATATTATTATGATTAATTACCTTGACAGTTTCCATCCATCTTGGCTGTTTGACTTGATAGTACACAACAGACCGATATTCATTCATGGGTTTGTCCCCAGCTCCCACGCAAATAGCATTCTGATCCAAGGAAAATGAAGAGAGCAAAAAAACACTATTGTATTACCATTTTCTGTTGTTGGAAAATTGGAGCCCCAAGGCCAAGACTGGTTTTAAGTCCTGGGATGATTCTGCCTTTCCAAGCCCTTCTGCCAGGTAACAGTCATGGCTTTTCTACATTACGGATTTATATACCAACATCCCCAGCCCCGGGAGTGACAGCTGCTTAACTACAGAAATTCTATTACTTGCATTCTGGAAACCACTGGAGCGCACCAGGCGCTGACGTGGCTGCCTTATTGTAAATGTAACCAGCCTTGGAATGACTGCATGCTGCCAGTCTTATTAATCCTATTTGTTTCCTAAATCTGAATGTGCACAAAGTTTACAAACAGGCTTAGATCAGCCAAGCAGCAGCTCTTTCTGATGGATTTCTAATGCTAACACACCAAGGTACAAGATCTAGGCAAGGGAAAGAGGGCACACAGGCTTCAGATGAACTCATAGGCAGGCATGCTGAAGGAGCCCTTCGGGGTACACTATGGATATCAGTCAGATATTAACCCTGCCATGAGGGCTCAAAGTTTGGTGGAGGGATTATTAGCTGAGCAGACAAATTACTATAATGTGGGTCAGATGTCAGATGCCAGACACCATGGGGCACAGAGAAGGGGCACAAATGCAGCCTGAAGACTCAGGAATGATTTCTTGAAAGAGAGGACAGTTGAGAAATTTAAAGGATGATTCTGAATGACACTGAGCAGAAATGTACAGCAGACCTTCTGAGCAGAGGCGTAGCACAGAGCAGGCAAACCTGTGGAGAATATCCTTTGCCATAAAAATCACCCTTAAAGTAACAAGGAATTATCTTCTAGTATAATGTGCTGGCCCTTAATTCTCTCTTCAATTATTCCAGAAGTTTGGCCCCCAAACAAGACCTAAGTTAGAGTCATCCTGAAAGCCCTAAAGTCTAATAGCCATACCAAACTGTAAGATTGAATCTCAGGTCTCCAGAGACCTAGGGGTATGAGGATTGGTTTTGGAGCCTCAGGCCATAAAACTGCAAAGCCATGTATGGCTGGACATTTTTATGGTTACAGAGTCCATGCCTCTCACCTGATTCCATCAAATTCTCCAATGGATCCTTGTCCCTTCGCTAGTTGAATAATCAAAGGTAACCTACTGCTGGCACTTTGAGACTACCAGTGAACTAAGTCAACCTGTGGTTACCCTATCCCATCACTACCCTATCACTAGAAAACTCCCTCTCTCCTTATGAGTTATCAAGAAAGAAAGAGTTCATTTTCAATATTTGCTGATGGTACTTGTGGCTACATAGAAGTCATTTGAAAATAAGAATACAGTAACTTTTTGGAACGATTTCTATACAAGCAAGGGTAACCAGTGAGAAATTAGGAAAACACACAAAACTCCATTGGTTGAAGGGATGAAGCCTTCTTGAAGCCCTGCCTGAACTAAAAACATGCTTCCAACTTTTTTCTGGTCATCTAGACAGTACTTTTGTCCAGTATTGTATTGAGCCCTGCATATACACTTCCTCACTTTATTCAATCCCCATAAACACCGCAGATGGCGACCATCATTGTCTCCATTTCAAAATAGGCCTGAGAAGTTAAGTCATTTACTTAAATGTAGCAGAGATGGACCTTCATCACAAAACCTCTAACTCTGCATCAAGTGTTCCTTCTTTAACAACCTGGATGCCTTCTAGCCATCCAAGATTTATATTACATGGAAGTTATGGTCTTTGAGTTTCTCTAGTTCCAGTGAATCCTATATAGCTTATGAAATCTGAAACTATGTATATATCTCTAGTAAAAGTCACATTGCTATACAGCAGGCAACATATTTCCATGAAATCATCCTAATGATGAAATTTTTTGGTTACTTAAAGCAAAACAAGGAAGTCTTAGAATTATTAAAAGGCTTAAGACAATTCCTTCACCTTCCCAACTTCAGAGATAAAACTGAATGTTGCAAAGTGTGTTCAGAGAGTATTATGAGTCCAGGTTTAGGGAAAACATAAATTCATATATATCTCAAGAAAGTCTATTTAATCATTTTCCCCATTATTCAACTCCCCAGGCCCCAATTAACAGTAAAAGTCCAAATTGGCTTCAGGTCAACTGAAGAAAATCTGAATAGCAGTCAAGAAGCCTAGATGGTGTAGTGATGTGACCTTAGGAGGCATATCAACAAAAGGAAAAATCAGGCTTTTAATCAAGGCCTGTTCATCTCATAAAAATCACCTGAGGAACAAATGACATACCGCCGATGTGAAAGCACTTTGAAAGGCTAAAGTGTCTATGTAGTCAAGGACACATCATAGGAAGATGGCATTAGCATCCACAAGTATGAAATCAAGCCTAGAGACCTTTCCAGTAGTGATGGCTAAATTGAATGAATACCTATTATGTATTTACCTCACTTTATAGTCACAAGAGTAAGGTGTCACTGCTGGTCTTGTTTTTAGAGGGTCTTCAATTTCAAGATATTATGTAACTTGCATCGTGCAAAGCTGGGCTGAGCTGGGCTTTGAGTCTGTCTGCCTCAGAGAGGCCATGTTCTCACCACTAGACCACAAGCTCCCCATGCCCTCCCTCCACTCTCGTAAACTAAATGGTCTAAAAAGAGCAAAGGTTTTTTCCATGTGGCACCTGAGCCTTTTCACATCTACAACTTGCTTCAGACATCCACATTTAATTGCCCATGTGAACTGGTTCCTGAACAGGATTTAACCTGCAGTTGTTCTGTCTTCTCCAAGCATTACCTGCTTCCTATTACTCAGTATTTACTGCATACCAGGTCTCTTCCACCTACTATTTTGTTTAACCTGCAACACCAAGAAGAGACTATTACTCCTCTTTTACAAATGAAAAAGTCTTGCCTAAGATCACTCAGCAAATAAGAGGAGAGGCTGAGATTTGAACTATATTTGGTATAGAGCTCACCCAGGTAGTTTTTCTTTTATCTCTCCTCCCAAATAATGGCATTGAGACCCCAAAATGAGTGAAGGACATATTTAACCTACTCTGCCAAGAGCAGTGTACACCTCGAGTAAGAGAAATCAGTATGTCTAAAGGGGACTGCTTCGACAGGAATTCACAGAATCAAACAGGAGTGTCTCAATGTGCCACCTGATGCTTAATTAGGCGGTAATATTTATTTCTGCAAATAGAGAAATAAAAACCTCCCACAGCCTTCCTTAGCAATTTTCAATAGTCAGTCAACTGAACTCCCCCAGAATTTTTCTAATAGATGAAACTGCAAATTATTGCCCTGCCCCACAGTTACCTTTCTGTTTCAGCCCCCAGAATTCCTGCTCATATTCATCTGTGAGAAGTGTGCCTGTTCAGGCTGGTTGGGTATGACTGAAAATGGTGATGAAGGTGGAAGTAAGTGTGGGTCCAAAATAAGATAAGACATCCTCTTTGATGCTAATCCTTCTAATGTGTCCTATAGCAACATTGAAAGCAAGCATAACCATGTTTTAAAAAATGAAACTGAGGTTAGAAAGTTCTCCAACAGGTAGTTGGATAAAAATAACTTCAAAGCAGTGGTCTACACATTCGTGAAATAAAATTTCCCTTTTAGATGAAAACCCTCTGTGCTTTCTTTGTGATACTTTGAGCAAAATGTCTCTCACTTATTTTATTTTTCAGAAAAGTTTGAGAATCTAACAAAAAGGATGAGTTAAACGCTTAAGTTTTGCTCCAGTAGATATTAATTATGGGAGCCCATCTCTGCAATCAAATAGGAAACTGTGGGAGTTTATTTAAACTTGAAAAATATTTATGAATCATCACAGAATTTGGTAGAAGCAGTTGTTAACCCCATTTTTAATGTGAGCAGTAAACCAGATAATACACACACACACACACACACATATGTATATAAAATCTACTGGCTTTAAAGTGATTTAAGAGGGCCAGGGAACTCATCTGCCATATAATAACTTTCTGACCTTGGGAAAGTTATTCCACTAGACAAAGTTTCCCCTCTATATACTAAGGATATTAACAGTAATTCTTTGTACTTATCACAGTGCCTGGAACTTTGCAACTCCTCTCTGAATGCTAATTATTCTTAGGCAGAATGTGCTAAACTCCAGGCCTCAAGACCAGAGTGGGTGATTTATGATAATTCTAACCCCCACCCTGTGTATTATCTAAGAGACTTACTCTTACTGTGGCCTAAAAGGAGTCTATGACATGCTAAAACTTCCTCTGAGAGCCGACTTTATTTTCAGCTAAGTATTCTGAAAGGAGAAATTGAGAAGCAAAACTCTCCCACACACTGGCCATAACTGCTGACAACCTTAAAGGAAATATAAGTAAATAAATGTAAATACGCATAACAAATATTATACAGGACATATGCTATATAAATATTTATAACATTGTGTTTTGCATTCTTGAATACATTCTGCTGGCCCCCTGGAGACCAATTTAAGAGCAAAGCTATCCATCAGAATTTCTGGTTGAGTGCTAGGGAGTTAGATTAAGTATTGGGGCTGGCTGCTTTGAGGCCATCCTGAGTCTCCACTCCAGCCCAAGGCTCTGTGTTGATCCTCTTTCTTGCCATGAATATTCCCAGAATAAACCAGTTAGGTTTCAATGAAAATGACATTTTGAACTGAAAAAGGCTAACCTGTAGGCTGGGGTCAAGCAAAAATGAAGAGGAGGAAGAATAAGAGGGAAAGGAAGAGGAAGGATGTTGAAGAAAAAGAAGTAGTGGTCGTGGAATGGAAGGGAAAGAACAGACACTGAAAAACTGCTTTGGTAAAAGAAATAACAACTCCAAATCTTATTATATATAGACTACTGTACAACCAAGTACTAAAGGTGTAGATCACATTGCTCAACACCATTCCTAAGGGAACCTAGCATTCAGAAATCAGGATTAATCAGGGATGAGGAGGGTCAATCCTCTTCTGAGGAGAGGTACGAAAGTGGGGGTCCTGTCACCCAGAGCAACAGCAGGCTTCCTTACCGGCAGTGTTTTGCCATCCTCAGTGCACACACACATTATCACTTCCACATTCCTCTGTGTGGTCTTGTTGTACTTGTCAAAGTCGCCTTGTAAGAGAGTGATGTAGATGTCATTCCTGACATCCCCTGAAGGAGAGGGTGAGAAGACAAAAGTTAGAATCTATATGGCAGGCGAGACACTAAAGACACTGAAGCACATGTGTGAGAGTGTGTGTGTGTGCGTGTGTGGGTGGGGAAGTGCCCCTACCTGAACGTATACTCATAAAATTAAAATCAAGTAAGGATGATCCAGGTTGGTCGTTTTTCATGCCATTAACATCATTTAATTTTCATACTCTAGTGACACCTTCTGGGAAGGCAAAGGAAAGCACCAACTGAATTGATCTTGCCCCAGGAATAATAATCATCCTGTAGAATGTATAGAAACCTTTCTACTGTGGGAAGAGGATAGACTGACTTAGTATGTATCCTAAGAGCAGTCGGGGAGAAGTACAAGGATGATCATCAGGAGTTGGGGGAAGATAAGAATTAAAAATCCCCCAGGGGACTGCACAAAGAATTGAAATCTCAGGTAAAGCAGTATGTTGAATACAGTACAGGTCTCTAATGGATTACCATTCAACTGCAGGAAAATGAAATCAGGTAGAGTCCAAAAGGTAAGCTTAAGAAAGGCAACTTTCTGGCCCTCCCTGGTGGCGCAGCGGGTTAAAGTACAACACTGAGAATCTAAAGCCGCTTCCGCATGAGTTCGATTCCCGCCTGCCCCGGAGGTGACCACATGGAGTGGCAGACCTCTCCTGACCCACCCGCTGCTCCCCTCAGCAGTGTGCTTCATCGATCTGCCTGTTCTGCTCCCCACTCTGTCTCTGGTGAAGCCTCTCACCGCCTCTGAGCCTCTGGCCTGTACCCCAGTTCTGTATGCACAAATAAATAAATCTTAAAAAAAGAAAAGGCAACTTTCAAAGGAGTGTTACCACATAATATCATTTGTTTTTCTTTTCTAACATAGGCACTTGGAAAATGTTAATAGTAGTGATTACTTCTGGAGACAAAGATCTGAAAGAATTTTTAAGGTATCACTTTATACTTTTTCATCCTATTTGAATATTTTAAAATGAGAATGGATTTTTTGGGTAAAAAAAAAAAATAGTTGTAAAATGTAAGAGAAAGACAATATTCCCCTGGAATATCGGGGTTATTCTATGGAATGGGGTTATTCTATATGTAGTAAAATAGAATGTTATCTGTGATGAATAAGTGATCAAGCATGTTGCAGAAACTATAGAAAGTGTGAAACAGAATAATACAAAGAGCATGTGTGTATGAGTTTGTGCTTAATATGTAATTGTGTAGATGATTTTTGGATGTACAGAAATTGTTTTCAGGGGCTACCTTCAGGGAGAAAAGTGGACAAAGGCAGTAGAAAAGGAAGGAGTTAATTCTTTAAGAAAAACTGGATTTGACGAACTGGACACTCCCTGCCCTGCCCAGGTAAAAGCCAAACCTGGCATGATGATCTCCGGGAAGCCCAGCTTCCTGGCCACCACAGTGGTCCTGTCCACCAGATGCGGATAGTCCTTACGGATCTGAATGATGTCACCCACGAGCATCTTCATGGTCACCCAGAGGCCTAGAAAAGAACATTCATTGAGAAACCACCTTTTTCAAGGTGTTCTCTCAGTCTTACCCTTCCACCATTTATCTCCTTGATCTTTTTCTTGAGGAGACTACTGGCAGAAGAGACAGACAACAATAGATGCAGTGACCTGGCCCTGGGGGGAGGAAGTGGTATAGGTGAGGTTTCTGGAGTGAGTCACCTCTGGGTTTGAATCCCACTGGTTACTTCTAGCTGTGTCAGCTTCTGTCAAATTATCCTGCCTCTCCATGTCCAGCATTTGTAAAGTGTGGCTGATTCCATTATCTTACAGGACTGGAAGGATGAAATCAAACAAAGAAACATATCAAAGTGCCTGGCACACAGGAGGTAGTCAGGATGTTATCAGTTCTCTGTTCCTTTGGACACTAGGGCAGGCATCCCATTTGTTTTAGGTGATGTGGTTTCTGTCTCTGTATAGATCACATGTTCCTATTCTTCACAGTAGTCTCGCCTGAAGGAAGGCTATGTTTCCAGAATTAAGGATTTGGACTAATTGCTGCAGAGTCAGGGGTTCCCAGGCTGGAGTCAGGGCCAATCAAGTCAGTGACTTAGTTTTGTACCTTGCCCTCCACTGTCTCCCTTGGAGGCTGTAACTTTGCTCAGTAAGCTGTGTAGGAAGTCATTTTCAGCAGTCACCCTGGAAAGGAAAAGACAGTGAAAAATTCTAAGGTGGTACCCTCATACCATTCCAGATGCTCCAGAAAGTAGCTAGCTCATCCTAAAGCCTTAGGTGACCGGTGAGCCCGCCTCTGCCAGCACTGGGAATGCTGTATTACAAAGTATTTCCTTAAAAGTACTTCTCTCAGAGCCTCAAAATGAGTATCTGTTCAGCAAGGCAGCAAAGTCTTAAGCTGTACCTACGAAGACCTTTAAACAGGGTCTCTGACAATATCTGGAACAAACCACCATTCTTCTTGCACCATGCTTAAGGAGGCAAAATAAAAACAACGCTCTGAATCCTGTGCTTTTGTAGATTTATTTGTAGAACAAGAAAAGAACATTTACCTTCCTTGCTAGGCTCCTTTCAGGTCATGGGTATTTCCACCCACAAGACCAGGTTTAGATTCCCTGTTCTATAAACCACTATTTTGCTCATGGTTCCTGTCTGACTTGTGATAAACACATTAATCTGTTGTTAGTTCTTTGTTTAATTCCTCATCTAAATATGTGATCCACAAAGACAGGCATATGGGTCTTGTCCACCACTTTATCACCTATGTGTAGCACAGCACCTAGTCATCTGCCAGTTTTAGCCAGTCTGTTAAACAGATAATGTTTGTGAGTGAAGGGGTGGAGAGCTGCTAGTTCTGGGAACATTACACTAAGGCTCTCGTTCTCATTCTTCCTCCCTCCAGGGATCCCATCGTCTATCACATTCAGATAACACATTAACTCTGCTATCCAGTGGTCCTCCATGAGAATGGGTATGCTCTAAAATAATTAAGGAAATGGGAGATCTCTCACGGATGAAATGGAATGAAGTGCTGCTTTTCTTCGTCACTCTCTGCTTTTCCTTTGATGATATCTGTTATATCCATAACTAGGAAGAGAAGAAAAGAGAGGTGAGTTAATGGTTTAAATTCCTCCTGATCTCAGCAAGGGGTGACAATGAGATGAAATTAGAAGGCAGATTAATTCAGAAAAGCCTGAAATGGCAAGTAAGCCAGATCAGACATTCCATAGACTGTGGCTCATCACGTGCAAGGCCCAACAAACACCTCTGAACAAAGCCCTTTAGGAGACCAGAAAGCCTGCTACAAGGCACAGAAACATCCACCAGCTCATGGTTTAGCAGCGGCTAAGAGGAAGGAGTAAAAGCAGTGGCTGTGGAATTAGTAACTTGGTTTGGATTTGACAGACGTAGTATTGCATGTCTATAGTGCCTACAAAATGCACATGTAGCATCTGGCTGGGGATCTGAGATTCTAAAGAAACCTATTCACTCTCTTTTTATAAACATGTTCACTCACACAGACACGTAACTCTCAGATCTTGCAATTCCAGAGGGATCCTGGATCCCCTGAAACTTCCCATTAATAGTAAGCTTCCATCACAGGCCAATAAAACCAAGGTAGAAAACTGCATGAGAGCAAGGCTTATAGAAATGAGGGGACAGAAGCATTCTGGGGAAAACTGATCAGACTCAAAACTCTAGTAATACAAACTGCCTCAGTTACTCTAGCACCTTGTCTGACATCAATAAAATTGCTTGGTAAATAATCTACCTCAAGAAGGACTTAAGGAAGAGAAGAAGGAGATGAAGGAAAAGTGTTTGATCCTACTAGCATTCATTCTTTTGAATTACCCTGACCCTTCCCTTGTTCTCAATGAGAATGATTATAGTTATTCATTTGATGTGGCCTAGCCCAGCACAGAGTGATAGCTACTGCCTAGAGTAAGTGCTTTGGAGGATACGCACATGACATATATGTTTAAGCTCCTAGGGTTCCTGATGGGCCTGAAGTAAAGAGGTGATCTCATGCTCCTGGATTGTTAAATTGGTAGGATGCAAGCATATAACAGCTGGATGATATTTTGCCAACTAATTACACAGCCATATTTACAATAAGCCAGCAAAGGGTCATTGCGTTGAAAGACAAAGAAATAAATTCATTTGAGTTTTTGGATCCAGCTATGCCTAAGCATTCAATTACACAAGATTTCTGTCCCCTAAAACCAAGAGAGGGAAGACTACAGCTAGAAACAAAGGCTCACTTTTAAGTAAGGTAAAAGGATCCTTGCTGCCTTAACCAAGACACTGTGGGGTCAGAAGAGTCCATCCTGTAGAATTGGAGCATTTAAGAACAGGTTATAGAGCAACTATATTAAGTCAGAAGGTGACTACAAACCTAGGAAAAATATTTGCCTGAGATCTGTTATCTAGAAACACACCAGGTTTAAAAAACATCTAATTCAGCTTAACTGCTCCACTGCTTTGTAAGTAGTACCAAGGGACTAGATGGTTCGTGATTAGACAAGATATGTGAATCCAAAGTGAGATGCCTGAATACTGGGTTAGATATAGGAGACAGGATTAACAGTGGCATACAACTAAATGTTTCTATTTTAATAAAAACAATAAAATGTTTGCTGTTTCCAAAGATTTCAATTGTTTCAGGAAAAAAAATAAAATGTGCTCTTATTTAAATAAAGTGGGTTAATCAAAAGAAAATATAAGTCCAAGTGATAGTCAAAACAAAAGTCATGAAGGCTTGGGAGAAATACAGAGATGATTTTGCTCTAAAGCAGGCTCAACTGGTCACATTGGCACTCCGATTGTCCACTTCACCTGGAATTCAGATATGTTGTTGGTGACTTATTCTGTGTACCTATATTTCTAGTCCTGGATATATTTTTAAAATGATTTGCTCCTTGGCCCTACCTGGTGGCACAGCAGGTTAAAGCACAGCACTGAGAAGCTTAAGTCACTTCCGCATGAGTTCAATCCCCGCCTGCCCTGGAGGAGATCCACCTGACGTGAGAGACCTCTCCTGACCCGCCTGCTGCTCCCCTCAGCAGTGTACTTCGTTGATCTGCCTGTTCTGCTTCCCACTCTGTCTATGGTGAATCCTCTCACCCTCCGCATCTCTGGCCTGTACCCCAGTTCTGTATGAATAAATAAATAAATAAATCTTAAAAAAAAAAAAAAAAGATTTGCTCCTCAATTAGATTCTGCCTGTATTGTTCTTCTTTCCCCCATAAGGTGGGGAGCAAAGGCACCAACTGTTAGATTTTGTGGTGATCCCGAGCTCCACTCCAGACATGGGATTCCATTATTCACTGTCTTCATTATAAATCTGGATTTACTCACTGATTATTTCAATTTAGAAATGCAGACACTAAGGGTTGCTTGGTATAAACTTTCAGTGGAAAGAGATACTAGGAGGTGAGGGAAAGAAATAATCTTTAAACTTAGGCCATTATACAATGTACATACCATTAGGTGTGTGGTATGTGGTATGTCATTACCTGCCACCCCGAAGGGCCGCCTCAGTCCTTGGGTAAACTTCTTTGCGTTGGCATCCTTAAGATCCATCTTCCCAACTCGGACTATTTGACAAATCAAATAAATTTTATCCCTGTTGAGGTCTTTGTTTCCAAGGTCCTGCAGGCCAGGAAACAGATAGTTTTAGACAAAGTGTGGAATGAAAAAAGTTGAAAAGGAAACTGCCTAAAAGTAAATTCTGGGGGTGTGCATAGCACTTAAGGACATGAATCAGTGACACAATTAGCCCTAAAAAAGGTAGAAAACTAAAACACAGCTAAGGAAGGTAAGGGTTATAAAAGAAACTGAGCGACAAACTTTGGTATTCAACCCCAATCATGCCAACTCAAACTGACAGGAAGAGAATGACAGAAGTACAATATCAGTTACACAGGCAGGGTACCTTATATTCCAAAAATAGCAGTCACTACAAATGACTTCCCATACCTCATCATCACTCAGCACCTCTAAAAGAGAGGCAAGAGAAAAAAGGTAGGCTCCCAACAGCTACCTCTTATATAGCATAGAATGTATGTGTGGCCCTCCCTGGTGGCACAGCAGGTTAAGGTGCAGCACTGCAAGTGTGCTGCAGCCACTTCAGTATGGTTTCAATCCCCAGTCCTGGAGTTGGCACAACATACCTTTCCTGACCCACCCACTGCTCCCCTCAGTAGTGTACTTTTGTCAATCTGCCTATTCTGCTCCCCACTATGTCTCTGGTGAATCTTCTCACCACCCTTGCACCTCTGGCCTGCACCCCAGTTCTGTATACATAAATAAATAAATCTTTTTTAAAAATGTATGTGTATATGTAAATATATACGTTATATATACATTATATATAATACACACATAGATACACACACACACACACGTACACATACCACTCAGGATTGTTGTGTTGTCACAGAACAACACAACTTAAATAGCTCAGAGATTACAACACAGCAGAACTTACTTCCAACTCAGGTTATAGGTATAATGGGAGGGGGCTTCACTGATTTACTAACTCTGGGAGCCTGACTGCTGGGTGAGGTATCTCAACAGATCAGGTGCTTCCACCGTACTCATAGTAAGTAGGTAAGGAAATGTAACAGCTCATTTACTGGCTCTTAAAGCTGTGACACCTCTGCTTACAAATCACTTCCACTCACATTCTATTGGCTAAACAAGGCCATGTGGTCCCCTTGAAGAGGGACAGTGAGCCTTGCTCAGAAGGAGGACTGCAACAACTGTTGAGCTAAACTGATGATTCATGCACTGTACTAAGTGTCCCATATGTCATCATCTTATCTGCTCCTTAACTCTCTAAAGATGATATTTTGCATCCCATTTATAGATGAGGAAATTGAAACACACACAAAGAAGCTAAGGGCTTCCCCAAGGTCACACATTAGCCCATGGAAACACAACCAGTTGCTATGATACCAGAAGTCCAGAAGCCTCACTGCTACTGTACTTTCTTCTTCTTCTGTGCTTTCTAGGCACAAAGGAAGGAACACTTCCACCTCAGTGTCTAACAACCTTTCTCAACTGCAAAAACTTTCATGATCCTGAGAACCCTTTCAGCCGGGAACAGCTGGAGAAAGAACGATTGGGCATGATATTGGCAACAGAGCAGTCCTGGGTCTGGTATCACTGGAGAACAGTTGCTTCCCCTGCAAGTTAGTCCTCCTAAAGGTATATGTACTTGGAAAAAGCTATTGCTCACAGAACAAGGTAGAAGCTCTCAGAGCCAGTGCCTCAGTCCACATTGTGCTCTTTTCTGCCTGTGAGCCAGCTAATCAGTAGATAAGTTTAGGCCTGATCCAAATGCCCCTACCTGACAAGTGGGTATGGTTTGCTTCTCCACAAACACATTTGTTTTTTCATACTCAAAGGCTTTTTAATCATTTTCATTTAATATTGATAAGAAATAGAGGATATGCATCTGAAAATCATTATACATGCCAAAAAGAGAGGAAGCAATATAGAATGTCCAATATGGAAAACTGGTATGTATTAACTACAAACCTTTCATTTCATAGAACAACGACAGCCTTACCTTAGTCTCAGCCATAGTCATAGTTTCAAAGAAAAGAATGAGAGCAAGGGAGGAAGAGCAATCTCTGTAGCTGGTGTGGAAGGAAGAAGATAATAAGATTATGCAGAATCTCTGGAAACAGACACAAGACCCTGATGTGGTCCACATTTTCCTGCCTTAGGACTGAGATGGTTAAATTTTGTGTTAATTTGGCTAAGTAATGGTGTCTAGTTGTTTGGTGAAGCACTAGTACAGATGATGCTCTGCAGATATTTTATAGATATGATCAGCCCCAATAATCAGTAGAGGAGTTTATACTGAATACTGTGGGTGAGTCTCATCCCATCCAGCTGACAGCCATAGAGCAAAATCTGAAGTGTTCCCAGAGAGGGAGGAGTTCTGCCTCAAAACTAATATGTTCTCCTGCCTCACTTTCTAGCTGAAGCCTGTTCTACAGGTTTCAAGCTTGCCAGCCCCCAAAATATCATGAACCAAATCATTAAATATATCTATATCCGTTGAGGTATTGTTTCCCCCCCTCCCCTCTGGAGAATGCTGACTAATACAAGGGCTATTCTTTCACTAGTTGGAGGAATGGACATGTGTTTGTCATTTGTCAGAGTCTCCCAACTGAGTAAGGAAAGAAGGAAGTTGGGGAGATGGGGCTTTGGCCCCCTCATTTTCATTCCTTGTCTTTCCCTATAAACATTTGAACTTTCATTTCCAATTATCTTATATACTGATGGTTGGATGGCCTGTGGCCTACTTGACTCCTTTCCAAATTCACCCTGAGAACACCTACAGACTCATCTTTTGAAGCTATTCACTACTTCACTTCATTCCCCCCAAACAATAGGAGATAACTATTCCCTATTTCCTATCCTTTTAATATTTATCTTACCTGGTTGATGTACAAGGTCCTACAAAATAATATATTTCCAGCTCTCCTACCCAACTGACTCTCCATTATTCTCCACATGTAAGTATTCTAATTTTACAACAATTATTTCTTTAATGCTCACAAATGCACAATTCTCACTTTAAAGTACATATCTGTATCTCTACCTAAAAATCTACCTCTTATTCCCCAGCCTTAAAAGTCCAAGTCTTTCTTCTTTTACAATAATCTCCATCCTTAATTATTTCTATCCTCCTATTATAAATATTCATATTTTGAAATATATAAATTAAGATTTATCCTATTTTTGAGAAATATCTAAATTGGTAACTTCCAGAGGCATTCCATTTGGAATAGATAGCTTGGCACTTGAAAGATTCCTGTCTAGATGTTATGAATGAATTGAGTTCTTGTATTATCATAAGCCCTAACACTGAGTACCTGAGGATGTAACTACAGTTGGAGACAAGGCCTTTAAAGAGGTGACTAAGCTGGCCCTCCCTGGTGGCGCAGCGGGTTAAAGCACAGCACTGCTGAGGCCACTTCCATATGAGTTCGATCCCAGCCTGCCCCGGAGGTGACTACATGGCGTAGCAGACCTCTCCTGACCTGTCCACTGCTCCCCTCAGCAGTGTACTTCATTGATCTGTCTGTTCTGCTCTGGTGAAGCCTCTCACAGCCCCTGAGCCTCTGGCCTGTACCCCAGCTCTGTACGCATAAATAAATAAATCTTAAAAAAAAAAAAAGAGGTGACTAAGCTAACCTGAGGTCATTAGTGTGAGTTCTAATCCAATATGACTGGTATTCTTATAACAATGACTGGTATTCTTATAACACGAGAAAAATTACACATAGACAAGGACAGAAGGAAGACCATGTAAAGATACAGGAAGAAGATGGCTATCTGTAAACTAAGAATAAAAGAAACCAACCCTACAGACATCTTATTTTTAAACTTCCAGCCTCCAAACAGTGAGAACATTAATTTCTATTATTTAAGTTACCCAATCTGTGACACTTCATAATGGCAGCCCTAGCAAACAAATACACTGGATCATTGCTGGATAAGCTCCCATTCTATGAACATATTTAGGCATCAGATTTTTAAAAGCTGGCTAAATAGAGGCCCTCAGCACTAGAGAATCTTAGGATGTTACATAAATAATAGCAGAATACTTCTGCCCAGGTTATTTTCTGAAGAAGTTTATAAAGAGGCAAACCTCCCTTAGAACCCCCAATCTATATTTCCCAATCATTTATAGTTTAGTTCTGCCAAACTCAGAAGCCTTGGGGAACATAAGACAGGACAATAGTGCCTAATACACACATCACCTGATTTAGTAATTCATCAGTATAGATATCTCCACTCTCTGAAAATGCAGTATTCTATAAAACATTCCCTAGGTTAAAATGGCATAAAGTGAAGAAGCAATTGAAATTTGATTTATATAGAAAAATTGTTGGAGTTCCCAGCTCAAAAACAACCAAATCATACTATAATACACACAAAATCTAAAATCACACTAACCTATAAAAAGAGGAATGGCATTATAAATACACAGCTTGTGTAAAGTCGTCCCTAGGGAAGGAGCTTGGAGGAGTCACTCCTACTGCTCAGGGTGCTGCTGCCTCTAGAAATGCTGCAGAAATAATGGTGAGTGCTAGTTGCACTGTTCACCTTTTGTTATAAAAGAAATGGTTCTTTTTTGGATTTCTTCTTGTTATGAAAAGCAGTTTATAATGTAGGCCTTTACAAAAGTGAAGTGAAAAGGTGAGAACTTTCAAAAACCAGAGGATACCTGCTTGTTCGTTGTTTCAAAAGTTTTCAGTTTCAAAAGTTCTTCTTATCATGTTAGTATTCTTTCATTTGTGTTACAGCAACCACAAGTGAAGATAAGTCATAGGATACCTTGAGGTATATGCTGCTCTCCTCTTACAGCACCAAGAAAGGTGAATACTTATAAAACAAACAAGAAGGGAAGTCCACCATCAATAAGATACAGGTGCCAGCCCCTCAATCTCTGTTCCCAATGGGGGAAAACAAAAAGAGCTAAAATCCAGAGCAAGAGAAATAATGCCAGTAAGATAGATGCAAGCGAAGTTGTACCTCCTCTTTAAGTCAAATATCACTGCGATGTTCAAATGAAAATTAACTCTCAGTCAAAACTCATCTTTTCATACTATACTAATAATACACATTGAATGGAGTGCCTTCTGACATTTTCTCCTATTCACTCATTTGCTTATTATCTGAATTCCTCTTATCACACCAGAGAATAGGAACCTATCAGATTATTCACTTCTGTAACCCCAGAACCTAGCACAGAAAAATAAATAGTGAGTACTCATTGGAGAGTTCTTGAATCAATAAAGGAAGCTAGTGTACCATGACTTTCCTTTTCCCAAAATGAAGACTCCCATCATTTCAAGAGAGGAAGTGTAGGCCTATTGAACCACTAAACCATGGTGCTCAAATTCACTTGCTCTGGAAAGAAAAAGTAGTGACACATTCCATGAAGGCAAAATCACATTCCCTTTAATATTAAGTGACACAAATGCATGTTTACATCACAAATTGGTTCTTTGCAAAATGAGCCACTGACTGATTCCCTGTCCCTCTCCCTCTCATGAAACATCTGTCTCCTGGTTTAATCAGGAAGTCCATGGGCCTCTCCTATTTACCAGGAAAATAAATAGGTTCCTCCTTCTAACTCATAATAAATAAACAATATGAGGCATATCAGTAGATACCAAGAAAACTTGGTCTAAGCAAATAAGACCTCTGATCTTATTCTATGCTTCTGGCTTGTTTTCAAGCCATAACAAACAAAATAAATCAGCTGCACTCCAATCTAATTGTGACATAACATAAGACATTGTATCTAATGGTCTGTGACTAGAAAATTATTGTAGAGCAAGGTAAATTAATCCAGCATGTAGGTCATTCCTGAATCAAGCTCATCGGTGTGGTCATTACCCAAATCCTCCCTGACACCACCTCTGTAATTTCCCTTGATACACAGGCAATGCAGTGAAAAAACCTTAAATGACATGCTCCCCAAAGAAGCATACAGAAAACACCAATATCCTTAGGTGTGTTAAGGTCACACTCTTAACATACCATCATGGAAATAGGACAAGAGAGAAAAGATAACAGTATTTCTTTCTTCCCACTGTTTCTCTTTTTCAGAGCAAAAAAAAATAAAAAGTCAGTTTCACTGTCACAAACAAATCATCCAAGTGACAATTAATTTCAACTTTTCTATATATGTCTTTCCTAGTGAGTATTAGTATTTGGAAGGAGGATTCTAGAGCCCAATAATATTTAGTCTTCTATGACTCAACTATATTAAGAATATCCAACTTACCAAAGTAGTCAATGTTCTAGGAAGATTTTTTTTCCTGATATATTTTAGAAAGATATCTATAAGATCTTAATCAAAGAAAGGACTCAGATTAACCATGAATTACCAGAAAATGAAAACAACTGCTATATTGAATTCACCTACATATTATGACTCAAAGAATTTTGTGCTTGTGTATATAGTGCTCTGCATGAATTCTCTGTGTGTACATGAGTGAGAAAGAAAATGGAAAAGAGTAAGAAAGAGGAGGAAATCCATCCTCCCAACCACTTCTCCAGGGTATATAGTCTTCTGCCTGCCAGAACATGGCTCTGCACTGAGGCCACACTTGCTCATCAACTGACCCATCTCATTTCTAAGAGCACAAAACAAGGTAAAGAGAAGATAGTGCACACCCACCGTGAAGACCACCTTCAGGTTGTTAAGCATCTCAATTTCCTTTGGGAAGCCTTTGCTGCCCCATCGTACCAGGTAGTTCTCACTGTTGGAAGAGGAGGGGCAATATATTACTGCCAGGAGCTTAACATCAGTAAGAATATTAACTAAGCATATACTGTGTGCCTGACATCATGAGGGCCACTGAGGACAAAGTAGTATTTGAGGCAGGTGTAGTCCTTCCCTCCAAGAAATCACTGCCCCAGTAAGAAGACAGATGTGAGACAAGCCGATTTACTAACATATGTGTATTTGCAACCTCTTTTCCTCCTCCATCTACTGAGCCAATTCTGCTCCCACTGCCTAGTATTTGTGAAGAGCAGCAATATCTTTGTAGGGGATATTGATAGTGGTGGAGATTTTAGTGTGATTTTCTAGATACTAAGACTGTATTTGCAAAAGATACTCAACATTAATAATCAGGAAAAAACAAATCCAAACCACAAGGAGGTATCTTCTCATATTCTCATACCTGTTACACCATTTATCATTAAAAAAAAAAAAGAAATAACAAGTGCTGGCAAGGATGTGATGATGTGATGTGGAAAAATGGAAACTCTGTGCATTGTTGCAGAATTGAAAACTGGTGCCATCACTACGGAAAACAATATGGAGGTTCCTCAACAAATTTAAAATAGAACTATAATGTGATATGTGATCTAACAATTTCATGGTGGATATATATATAAAATAAAACACTCATTTGAAAAAATATATGCACCCCCATGTACTTTGAGGTATTATTTACTCCAAGACATAGAATTTACCTAAGTTTTCTTCAATCGATACATGGACAAAGAAAATGTTA